TTTATTTATATAGCTGACAGTTCTCTGACCGCTCCTTCTAGTGGAAAAGCATATAGAGAATGCTCCACAGGGCATCGTGGTGTTAACCTAAGACCCCTAAGCAACCCCTTGCTCACTGGAATTGACAAGACATGGCTCTTATCACCTCACAGGATCAGTCCTGCATGAAAAAATTAATATCAATATTATAAGCCTATAATGAAAAAACTATTTGAATTTGAGCTCTCTTTTATTCTCCAATTCTTTTTCAGAAGATTCCTCTCTCATTTAACATAGATATAAAAACTGGAGGCACATATCCCTAGTTTGCTATTAGACTCTTTTAACAACTTAGAATAATCACTTTATTCTTACCAGACTTTATGCCTCTTAGTGTTCCAAAAAAATGTCCAATTCATATGGAAAAATGTGTTTACAGGAAGGAGTCTGTACTGTAAGGCTGGCTTTGCCTACACTCTCATCGAAGAGACAAAGAAAATATTTTTCTTAAAGGCATTACAGTCCACCATTGCATGTTACTGCAGTAAGAAGGACTTACAGGAGTTTTGCCCAAGCAGGACTATAGGATCAGGCCTTGTAATATGGGAAAGACACAGAATCAGAATGAGGGCACAGCAAAATGAACAGTAGATGAAGAAGAGATCAGAGCAAATCAAAGGAAAACAGGCCAGCTCACTGGGGCAAGTGAATTCCAGTAAACAGGATGCAATAGTTGAGACTGTTCCTATCTATATGCATATACACACATATGTGTATATATGTGTCCATATAATATACAGTATCTATATAAGTGTATATAGATACACTTATGTACAAATGCATATTTATATATATAAAATCAAAATTGTGTGTTTTCCCAGCTACAGTTAATACCAGAATACTACAAATTGTAAATGATAGAGCTCTTGCAAGTCTTTTTCAGATGAAAAATATTTCAAGCTATTTTTAAATATATAGGACCAGATCCTCCCCTTTACATAAAGAGTTTAGTGAGGTATGTGAGAAAGCTTGATCTCAAACATGCAGACTTCAAGGCAAGAATATGTCCAGATTTCCCAAGACAGGATGTGGCTGGTGGCTATAATGAATGCCCCCATGTCACTCCCCAGGGGTTTGCCTCCTGAATAATTGTATAAAACTAGCAGTTAAGACCTCATACTGCTCCTGCCTTTGAGCAGAGAAATTTTCTATGCTTACCCATCCTGCTTAAGTAGTAGATAGGTGCCTCGCATCATACAACTTGCCAGTGTTGCTCTAATGTGTCACACCTTCTATTACTTTTAACAGGGTTTTACTTAAATAGTCATTGGCATTTGTAATTAAGATTTATTAATATTGATATAGACTCTTGAGGTTGCAACTTAGATTCATTATAACATGCAATGTTGCAGCACAAAAGTCTGTCTGAAATGATCAGTCTTTTCAAGTTTTGTTTTAGTTTAAAGGCTTCTTGCCTCAATTTCTCTAAAAAATTCTCCAAAGTGCTGGCCACAACACAAGAAACGCCATCAAGAGGAAGCAGGTGTGCAGCGTCTGCATCTGCTGCATATCATGCCTCCACTCTACTGCCCTCCAAAGAAACAGAGGCTTGAAGAGGACAAAACAACAGCTCCTTCAATGATATTGTTTCCCAGCTACAACCCCTGCGTAAGCTTCTGCATGCTACACAGAATAACTGTAACCATTTTGTACAATGGAGAAAAATCCTCCCCATCCCTGAAAATTTGTTGCAGATAACCCTCCAGAAACCATTCCTTCACACTCTGCACAAGGGCCACACACATGTGCGTTGGTGTTTTTATGCAGAGTCAGTTGCATATTCAAATATTGACGCTTACAGAGTTCTTAATGAAACCCTAGAAATATCAAGCTAATATTTATATCTGAGTTGATCTGCTGACCATTACCTACCTACATTAACCGAGTGCTACATTAGACTACAGCAAGCAATTCTGTAAACTTTTGGGAGGAGGGTATCAAGCAATAAATAACTCCAGAAGAGCGGGTAGTTCAAAATAAGTTATTCACAATCACTCCTCCGTTCTTATCTTCATGATTTTCTCACTAGTTCCTGTTGAATCTACAGCAAAAAGCAACTGTGGATATACAGTCCTTTTACCTTTTTCTGCAGTGAAAGCAGCCTGGGTCATCAATCCTGACTGATCTCTCCTTCTCTGTTTTGGCATAATTTACTGTTTTTACATTGGCAAGTTGTTCAAGTACAAGTGAATTTCTACAGCATTGATTGATTTTACATAGCAATGTGTAACAATGGGCAAGTCTGTACTTTGAAGACAGCAAAAAGAGTCCTTAGGTGTTATATTCTTTCTCACCTGTAAAGCAATTACCTGCTTCTGGATCCTGCTATACTGGAGAGAAAATATAAACACCTCAACTTCAGCATTTCAGGCAAGGATGCATAAAGTTGGTACCTACTAAACTGACCATGTTAATGCAGGAATAAGCTTACAAGACCATAATAGACGCTTTACAGAAATAAGGGAGAAGGAGGAAAAATAATCACAGGCTGCCACACCACCTTAACAAATAATTCCAGCAGTGCCCAGGGCAAAAATATCACAGTGGGACCAAATTCTCTTTATGGCGTACCAGGAAAACAGGAAGGAAAAGATGGAATTTGTTGTTACATTCATCTGTTAGGTATTCATTGACTGTCACTGCTCATATACGACAAGTATAGACAATTAAGAACTCATGTTATTAAATAAAAATTAGTAACCACAAGCCCTATTTGTAATAAAAAATAAAAATACCTTTGAGTCTCTGTTCTTGTTCCATATGCAAATGCACACACAAAATTATAAAGAAAAAAGCAAGCTGCAAGACAAAACATTGATTGGTTGAGAAATCAGCAGTCCTTCAATCTTGTACCAAGGTATAAAGGCTATTAGAATTTGTGCATTTGAGAAATTTTGGGCATATAACAGAAGATGTAATGTCAAAAGTATTCAGGAACTAACAGAAAGGGAACTGTATTATTTATGGTCCATAAATTACAAATGAAAAATGAGAATGAGTTTATATAAGCATATACATATATGTATATATAGAAATATTTATATTATATAATTTACCATGAGGACATGCAATTATTGGTATAGCACCTATTATACAATATAATACAAAGGAATAGGACTTTCCAATGGTACAGTTTCTTCAGAAAAAGCAGGTATACCCTACCTATTGCATTCATCTGTAGTGCTTGAAACCTGAATGAAATTAAGGTTCCACACTGTGCTACATTACATATGGGAAATAATATACATATTCATAGTAAGAAAAGGAAAAAAAAAAAATCAACATAGTCTGACAAAGCAAGTGAAATTCAGTGCAGCTCCAGGGCAGCTTTAATGCAGCATTAGAATGTATTAGCTCAGAGACAAAATATTCCCTTTTTAATCCAAGGATTCATTTGGCAGAGGTTAAATAAAAAAGCACAGATGCTGGCTGGAGAGGCATATGACTACAGCAAGCAGATCAGTAACTGACAAGTCTCCTATGCACCCAGTGTCCCCACAACAGGAATAATTAGGGAGAGCTGGCTGCATCTTTCTCAGGCTTGTGTTCTTTTGTGTTATTTATTCTGACTCATTATTTTCTTCTGAATGTAGCCAAAGGTGCTGTACCGTTACATTCCCTACAGAGATCCTGTAGAGCACGACATAATTATTACGTAAGTACCAAACAACGTTGGAGGAATTGGACACCATGGACTTTACCGACAGACAACAAAGCTTGGCTATCTAAAAACGATTTGGGCAAAAGAATGACAAGAATCCACCATAAAAAATATCTCAGTATATTTTGCTTTCTGTATATTTTGCTTTAATGTCTAATATTCTTACCCAGGTTTTGTAAGGCTGTTAAGTGTATTTCTGTCACCTATAACCTACCAAGTTCACGAAGCAGACAATCTCCTCATCTCTGTTCCATCTTTCATGTTTTTATAAAACAAATGACCAAAAAAGCAAATCTTGGTTGGCAGTCATCTCTGCACGGTAAGATCAGTGGTTTAAGTGATCTAATGGAAAAACAAAAGCCAGCAGTAAGAAGGGTTCTTTTTATAGTTAAGGGAAAAAAGGTACTTCTGTTTTCTAACTTATTTTCTAACTTACATTGCAATTTATTGTAAATCTGACACATTCAGTGAAGTGCAGGCATCTTCTCCTCTCTCTCATTTCCAAGACAGGAATGATTTTACAAATTTTACCAAATGCAGTCTGACTCCCAAAACATATGATATAGAACTGAGAATTAGCTTCTTGGATCCTAATTAGTACTAAACAAATTTCTAAATAATATAGCTATAAAAACATCTTGGCAAATGTTAATACTAATTTTTAAAATGTCATCAGTGTCAAGAAGGGGCAAGGTATACGATACTTCCTTAGGTAAAAAATCTGTGCCATGGTAGACAGGGGACAAGATGAGCACTGAGTGACTCACAGATGTGTGCAGCTCAAAATGGAAGAGACAAGGTAGAAATACCATCATCTTCTAAATTGTGTGCTTTTTTAAAGCAGTACTTATCTCCCAAGGGGTGACGTAATTTTGGGAATAACCGTTTCAGGTTTTCTTACATGCTCCTTGAGTATGTAAGGCCTTAAATAATTAGGCCAAATCTTCTATCTAGGTAAACTAAAAACACGGAAATAAATACCCTTTTAAAACACTCACCTTAGAGATATTTTTTACTCTAAACACATTGCACCTTTTTGACTACCTAGTCATTCTTATCCTGGCCTCTACTTCCCCTCTCACTGATCTGCTTGCTGCCTGCTCTTAGGCAATGTCTGGCCACTTATTTACACAGTATGCTTTCTCATGAATAGTTTATGATGCTTACTTTCTTTAAAAAGCGCAGATTCAACACCGGGTTTTTTAATATATTTTTTTCATAATTTTTTTAAAATACACACTACACAGACACAACATGCATCAATTTAGGAGGAGGCTTTATGCCTGTCAAGGCCCAGTTCCTATCTGCTAAGCTTAGTGGTTGATTTGCTCTTTCCTGTAGGAGTCTTAGTGTTTGGGGAATGGTGGAAGGAACTGCCAGATCCTTTCAGACCATTCTTGCTTGGTTTGTTGCAGCAGTGCTCTTGTTGGCAGGATCTCCTAGAAGATGAGGAGCCCGAATGGCTAGGAGGTGATTTACTCCTCCCAAGATGTGGGGATGAACTCCTCTGGTCATGATGGGGTCTCCCAGCCCGGGACGGAGAAGAACTGGCAGTACGGGGTAAAGAAGAGCTCCTAGGGGAGGCACTGGGACTGCGTCGGGGGATGACAGGGCTTTTGGGTGGTGTTTTTGGACTATGTGGAGATCCTGGACTCTTACACTGGGTAGAACTCCTTGGTCTTTGAGATCCATTCTGTAGGATTTGAGCCAGGCGAGAGATAAGATCCGAGTCCGAGCTGCTACTCCCTAGGACTCTGTATCTGCGTAACCTTAAGAAGAAATGAAGAAAGATTATTTCTATTCCCATCTATTCACTAAAGTTCATATAGAAACACAGTGTCGTTAGAGACTAGGGCTGAGCTTCCATTAGAGAACAGACATCTGGAGCTGAACTTTCCTGTAAGATAGAGGTATCTATCTATTTATCTATTTATATAGATATCTATAAAAAGATAGAGGTGTTTGGATCTAGGCTTTGGCTTCTGTGTTATTAAAATCAACACAGTATTTATATTTGCATGAACTCACTCCATGAACAGCCCGAGCGTTTACAGGAAAACTGAAATTTCACACTGGTGGTGCTGGAAAAAGCGCACTGAAGAGCAGTGCTTATCGCCTCTGTTTCAGAGGGGTACATCCATTCCTGCACACCATCAGTACACTTCTATACACAATTTTAAGGGATAACAAAGCACACCACAAATTCCTTCAGAGGATTTCGCACTACTGTATCAAAATTCTCCTTATCCTGGTAACGCAGGCACTGAAGAAACTAGATTGTGGTTGTCTGTATATAGAATTGGCAAAGGGGTGCTTCTAGAACTCACTCTGCCCTCCTTTAATTAATTTTTTTTTATTTAGCCATGTTCTGAGTATAGCTAACTAACTCAGTACTGATGGCCGGAATCTCCAAACCCGAATACTTAAAATGTCTACAATAAGAACAGTTTAATTTTCAAAGGGGATGGATATGACAGATTCCATGCATTTCCCTGGGTTTGTGAATAATCAACAGTTCCAGAAAAGTGACCCCACTTTAAAAAAAAAGTGTAAAGATTTAGTTATAGATTGACAGGTTTCAAAATACTGAATAGAAATCTACTGATGCATCAGGTTTAACGGTGAAGCAGGCTCATTCTTCTGTAACAGCCTTGCCTCATTCATTCTCCAACAACGTTAAGATTTCTCAGAGAATTGAAACCCAGCATTTTTAAAGAAGTAGTTAAAGGATGGAACTTCTATAGGATTAAATACTGCATAGTAACTGCAGTCTACCTCAAATCCATTTTCAACCTGAAAACCTATTTCTGTTTTCTCTGCATTACCTAGCTTCTACCGCAGGTCTAGTAGGCGGTCTTCCTGTTGGTGGCCGAGGAACAAACTGAGCTGAACTTGAACTGGTGACTTGATCAGTGGTTGCCCAGGACACTGGCCTTGGAATCTTGCTTTTTCTGGACTGAGGGCTGCTTGGAGATAAAGAACTATCTTCCGTCTGCTTGCTGAAATGAGAGTCCAGTGTCAATCTAGAAAATGAGGATAAGACATCATCCTCAGAAAATGGTACTGGAGCAGCAGCCATTTTTTCTTCCAGTGACTTATCAGAGGCACTTGAGAGGTCACCAAGGACAGATTTGAGCTGTCTCTTTTCCATAAGTAGTCTGACCAAGTCTGTCTGATGGGCCTTTTTTAGAAGCAGCTTCTCTTTTGCTGAAACAGGAGAAGAGGAATCTGACGTCGAGTCTATCTCTTGTGCTAAAACTGGGATTCGGCTCTGCCTGAATACAAAAGGAGATTTAACCAAGTCCTTCTTAGATCGATGAGAATTCTCATTTTCTGAAATGCAATGGAATAACTCTCCATTTCTGGGAGCGTTTTTCTCCTTTTTATCCTCCTGGTGCAAAAAAGTAGTAAGGGCCACTTGGTGGCATTTCAAGTCTTGGATATGGACTTCTTCCTTATTAGAATGAAAACCATTTTCCTGAACTGATGCTGTTTTGCTTGGCTGTCTACTAACATCTGGTTTGCTAAGTCTTGAGGGAGAAGATTCTGATGTTTTAGGTGCTATCGACTTCACAACCTCATCATGATTTGGCAGCAAACAGCCAGGCCTTGGCTTTGATTCTTCAGCAGCTTCAGTGTTCGTTAGAGGTTCTTCCTCTGCAGATTTTGAGTTTCCTGGCAAAGAAGAAATCTGTTCTTTGCTTAGCACTTCAACGGCGTCCTCTGAAACCACTGGCAGCCCTTCTTCCTCAGCCTCCTCTACAGGAATATTTTCAAGTTCCTTCTCTTCCTGTATCCCGCTGTGTTGTTCAGGTAGGTCCTTTTGGCCACAGTCCAGGGAGTTGACACCTTCTTTTACAAGCTCGTCCCTGTCAAGCACCTCTTGGCTGATATTAAGTACCAATTCTGGTCTGCTGGCACTAGCTGGAAGTGCGTCTTCTGTCACAACCAAACCTGGCAAACTTTCCTTGGGAGAGGAAAGTTCCACAGTGTGTTCCATAGACTGAGCATCCTGCTCTCTTTTCTCTAGCTGGTGGCCATAATGAAAACTCTCTGAAGCAGACTGTGTGGATGCCACTGAAGGTCTGGGTATTGTTATCTGCATCGGAAAATTAGAGAAGGAAAAGGTGAGAAATGCAGGAATTTTATTCAGATAACATTATTTAAATAGCACTTTTGATTCCATGTCTTCAAGATACATTATATAATGATTCCTACGAATCACAATGTTCAAATAATACCTAATAAATCACATCTAGATAATTAGAAAAAAACCACTCTATCATCCCAAGACAGAAATGTGCAACAGGTGAAAACAAACATTATCTCAGTGGAAAATGTTGCAGTTACCAAGTAACCCTCCTGGTAATGAGATCCAGCCTAACAGGTAGGCTTTTTCTTTATTTTACATTCTTTTGTATACTCTTAGGATAAGTTGTATATAAACATAAAATCTCTAACAAGTATACAACAATATTTTCAGACAAGTACAGAAGACAAAGAACACAGTGAGGTCCAAACGGCAATTTAGGCAGAATTTAGATTCTTTTTTAACAGAAACAATTAATAAAAAAAACTTTATTTACCTAAATAAATACATCGATACCCATAATACCTGCATTTTCGTCCAGAAAAACTTTCCTGAGTACCCAAATTTTAGCTATTACCTTCCCTATAGAATCTTATGCCTTGTTTTAACTAAGCAACCTGGTTAGGACATCCCCTTATCTAAGGTCATTAAGAGATTCACAAACTAAATATTTGCACATCTAAATCCCCTAATGGGTCTAATCCAATAAATATGCTTAAAGCATTCATAAAACCTATATGTAGTAATGAATTTGAGTCCCTTTGAAAAACAGGTGGTTATGATGAGTGCTGCCTCTAGTACGTAGCTTGTTAGAGCACATGTCCAGGAAATGGGAAACCTGCATTTATGTCCCTCCTCACCTGAGGAGTTATAATAGTAAAAAATCAAGGGGCTACCCTTACATCTTTCTCTACACGGACAGAGAGTTCAGCTCCTTTTTTCCTTGTATTCTTTAGCCTCATGCATCTGATGCAGTTTGAGTTTGTAACACTCAACAGGGGGTGGAAGACAGGAGTCTTGGTTTGGACATAAAGACTTTCTGGATGCACTGAGGGTAGAAGAGACAACTAGTGGTAGCCTGTTTCCACTGTTGCCAGGATTCTGCTGTTACAAGACAGATTTCACTTGACCTTGTTGCAGAAATTATACATGTTGCTGAGCTTAATGGGCTTTTGCAAGAGCATCTTGGTACTAATGGGTGGTAAAAACCAAGCTCATCTGCCAAGACCCTTAACGATTTATACTGTGTACTCAAACTTAACAAATACAGAACAACTCTCCAAAGTAAAAAATGGGAACTGAAAGTGAAGGAGATACACTGAGATTTCCCATGAGAGTATAATAGCTTCATTGAAATTCTTGCTGATTTTTTTTTTTTTTTTGCATTTTCTTCATATAGTCCTGTATAACAAAATTTTCATAATTGTGAGTGCACATTTACCTCCATGTAACACAAACATTCACCTGACATTATAAACAGTTCACTAGAATAAAACATGATGAAACACAAATCACAGGTATAAAGTTGAATTAAAGAGAGGACGATTATTTATGTTAAAGAAATTACTTCTATACTATAAAATGCACTCTGAACCTCTCTAATTTGCCTAATGCAGTTTTTGGACCTTAAACTACAAATATGGAATCATATTTTTTAGAAATTTGGAATAAAATTTGGAGAAAAATATTTCCTTAGATTCGTAAGTAGGATTAGCTGTTAGACTACAGAAAGTGGTACTTGTCACTGGTGGGGCAGGGGGGAGGAGCAGGGAGGAAGCGCAGAAATGTAAGATAATTGAACTCTTGTTTTCCCAATAGACCTAAGCTGTCTGTAGCATTTTGCCCAAGTTGAGATTTATTTAAATAGGGCGAAAACAAAACAAAACACAAAAACCACTGAGACCTGCAGCAAGAGGCTACTTTTTGTCTCCCTGACAATTTGTTTTCAAGTTTGGGCCAATACAGTCCCTTCACGTTTGCTGAATTAAAATGGTACATTGAGAAACAAACAGAAGTTACTTAGTTTCGGCAAAACAGTCCTCCTCATCTCCTGATACTCTCAAGTCTGTGTTCTTTCCTCTGAAGAAACACTACTTCCCTTTTGAGTTAGAGAAGTCTTTCTTACTTCAAAAGCTTTCTTGTGAGAGAATCCAAGAACATCAGTTCAGCTACAGAAAGAACAGAGGAAGTAGAATTTTTTTAAAAAGCACCTTTCAACGATTAGGTCGATTAGTGCCTAAATCTTGGCTGTTAAACAAAAATAGTTTAGCAAGAACTCTGCACAGAAAGGAAAAGGGATAAAGCTGGACAAGAAAATTAAGAAAAAAAGGTCTAAGAAACAGGGCAGCTATTCCATGTTTCCATACAGCTCTAGGAAGTTGCTCTGAAGCAGGCTGCCAACTCAAATAAGCCAGGAATCAAAAAAACAGAGTTGTCTTCCAGGTACCTGAAGGAGGACACCTTCCCTTAGAACAGACTGATTCTGGTGTCCTCTCAATTTTCAGAGGTAAGACAACCTTAGTTATTTGCTTTCAGGAGGATATTTATCTTCTTGGTACATTTCCAGAAGGGCTGCAATTGCATTTAAATCCTCCTGTGTTCAAATACATTTACATGGAAACTCTCTTTTACTTGTGACCTGTCTCTCACGTGTCAATTCTTTGCTAGGTGCAAGCAGCTCTGATCTGAAATCTATTTATATTTTTCAACAGACTTCATATCCTTTGCCACATGTGGAGAGAGAATTTCCTAGTCCTTCAAGGCCTACCTTGGCCAACCAAGATTTAACCCTTATACCCAAGAAACAGAAGAGCAAACTTCTTGAACAACCTACAATAGAAGAGGCAGGAGCTATTTCTGAAAGAAAAACACAGAACAAAGTGCAGGAAAGAAAAGGATACTGGATGACTAAGTATCACCGAACACTCAGTACTACTGAGCAGTTCACAGGTTCAGAAATGGCTTTTGGAACACACACATCACTTTCCTGATTTGTGTGCACTAACAAACAAAAGTTTGTTTTCTCAGATAATAAACCTCTTATGAACCTTCTAAAAGCACAAGAATTAAATTATATCCCTGTTGGGCTTGACATTTCACCTATATGTGCAAGAACTTTTAAATAGGTAATCATGCAGAGGCACCTTTCACGCAAGGGGTTGCTGCGACTTCAGGCGCAGCTTTAAGAGAGAAACAAACGAGCAAGGCCAATTTAAAAAAATCTGGGAATATGTATGAGAAAACAGAACTTGTATAGAACTGAACCCTGTTAAATCATAGAATGGTTTGAGTTGAAAAGGACCTTAAAGATCATTCAGCTCCAAGCCCCTGCCATGGGCAGCGATACAAATGCTTTCATTTGGATGAACTTGGATGTAATAGTTAATTACTGAAGAAATGGAAGAAGCTTGTAGACTATCTTCCTAAGGCTCCTTATAAGATTTCTTTGGGTAAAGCATCAGCTTCTTTACAAGGCTGGCTGCTACAGACTACTTCATGATTCATACTATGCAGATTTCTAAGTAAAAAGACTGGAGGAAGTTTTGAATCCCTCAAAACAATTTAAGAAAAAAAGATGTATCTAATCCTGTAGCCTTAGTTATCCCACAGATATTCTTCTCGCTCTCTTTTTGTGAAACCTTGCAAAACAGAAATCATAATGAAGGAGTCTGAGGAGGGCTTATCCTGAGACATGCAAAATACATCGATTTAAATTATCATTTATTCTAATTCAGGGAGACAGAAATCTCAAGGTTGTTCAATACAAATCTAGTTACAAAACAAATAATACATGGCCTAAGACGTAAAACTTTAAAAAAACCATTGTAACCATAAATAATCCTCATACTTTCTTTTCTTCTGCCATTAATTAAAATCTTATCCTATGAGATTCCAACAGCTAATCATGTCAGTTTTGTAAAACACTGAACCTGAGCAACAAAGATTACAATGAGATGTGGGTAATTCATCTAAGAAAAAATTTAGGGAATAAAAATTAAAATGCTGCCTCTCAGCTCACTATGATAATCAGTTTATAACACTATCTACCCGATTATCGCAATTACCATACTTGAACAGAAGTTACGTGATACAGCAGATTACTGAAAACGGCTGAGACAATATATATAACAATGAATCTGAGGTTCTCCTTTCACTCTGGAATATTTGAATGAAATTATTAACACCACAGTCTTGAGTCCTTTGGCCTTCCCTAAATAATTTATTAATTCCTTTCTGGTTTCTCAAATTAGCACTTGCCCAAGACGAGAAATTAGACTGTATTTTCTTCAAGAGACTTTACAAGATGGTAAGTGGGATGTTAAGAAGTCAAAAGAACAAAACAACGACGATGACGACATAAATATCTCTGGGACATCCTTTATGACATCTGACAAACTTTCCTCCCTACAAACCTTTGACAGGCTGCAATAGCAAGCGATATGCTTGGATGAAATCCTCTGTGAATGTTTACAGCAAATTGCAGAGGAGTGAAATATTGAGTTTTGGTCTGCAAAGTTGCTAAGTCTGAAAGATCTAAAGGTGTGAATATGGCTTAATGTACAATACCAGCAGGTAAACATCTGACCTCTCAGCAATAGCTGCTTCCCTCCACTCATGCTGTCTTGCTACTTCTGCAAGCATGTCAGGTGCTGTCAGGACTTGAAGCCTCTTTGAAACATGCTATACAGGTCTGTTGTTCAGCTAATCCTGTAATTATTCCTAACTTCTCACATTAATAAATCATTTTCATATTACTTGGCATTCTGAAGACACTTTACCCAATCAGTTTACACTTCAGAACTTCTTTCCTACCTTAATAAAGTTTGTGTATCTATGAGAACAAATCTCATGTATCTTTTCTCTTTTCCCTGTTTCTCTTTTTCATCTGTCGTTAGCTCTGTTGCCTATTAGGAATATAGCCAATGTTAGTATGAGTCTGCAACACCAAACAACCTCCCTGAATCTTTCCAGTTCAACAGCTTCCTCTTCATGATTTTTTCTTTACATAT